ATGTTGAACATTTTTTCATATGCCTGTTGGCCATCTGCATTTCCTCTTTGGAGAAGTGTCTTTTTAGCTCTACTGCCCATTTTTTGATGGGGTTAAAACTATAAACATTTTTAATGTTACTTAACAAATAAACTTTTAAAATACTGTATTAAGAAACATAAAATGTTTAAACAAATTACACAAAGTAAGAATGAAAAGGCTGGACATTATCAAGAAATTTTTCACATTGGTTTTCTCTGATTCAGAGCAGTTCAGAGCATACCTGGGAAGTCTTGATAAATACACTAACTAGAGATCCTATGAAAATATGAATTAAGAACATAAAGTCCAAAAGTTGAGACAACTAGAATAGGGGAAAAAAAACAAAAATGCAATAGGAATTTGTGATGTTTTCAGTACAGCATTAATTATCCACATACCTGTTTTTGATGTGGTAATATATTGCGAGAGCTACACTGTAAAAAAAAACAAAAACAAAAAACAACAAAAGTTCAATGTTTCATTAAGGATGTGCAAGAAAATTTTATTACATCTGACATCAGTATGATCATAAGAATTAATCAGAATGCTGATCAAGACACACTCTTCAAAATAAATTAATCTATCATTCACCCTCAGCAATTATTAAAACTTTTCCCAAAGAAAGCAAACCTTAAGTGATATTCAGAAACAAGGTTCTCTTTATATCTGATTTTTTAAAAAGATTTATTTATTTATGCATACAGAACTGGATTATAGGCCAGAGGTACTGGGGTGGTGAGAGGATTCAGAGTGGGGAGCAGAACAGGCCGACTGACGAAGAACACTGCTGGGAGGAGCAGCAGGTGGGTCAGGAGAGGTCTGCCTCACCATGTGGATCACCTTCGAGGCAGGGATCGAACTCATGCTGAAGTGGCTTTAGCTTCTTAGTGCTGTGCTTTAACCCACTGCGCCACCAGGGCGGGCCTATATCTGAAATTTTAAGCTTTCCTTGCTTGTAAGCACTGAAACAGGAGTTTGAGAGTGAACATCTTTGGAAATCTCTACTTGAGTACTATTTCAGAAAACTAGTGGTATGTCAGAAAAATGACTAGAATATCATGCTCAATGGTTTGCTATTAGTTCTCTCAAATCAATGCCTCTGGCAATCTACCTAATTTACTCATTCATTTGCTAAAACAGTGTGTAACTCTACCCTAAAATTTTACCTTACAATTTAGGAGACCTAAATTTAATAAAGATACTTTCCCTCCCCTCAATTTTTTAAAAGTAATGTTTCTCTGATTATAAAGTGTACTATTTTAATATTATAGAAATTTTGGAAAACTAGAAAGTATAAAGAAAAAGCAATCCATCTGTCTAAAGACAGCTACCATTAGGTTAGAGATGCATAGGTATCTTTATCTATAAACTATATTCCACCTAAATAGCTAAAAATGTATGCTCTTTTTCAATGTGAGTTTCTTTGCTCACTTATCAAGTTTGGTATGATTATTCATGTAACTGGCCATGTTTTATATTTTTGACTTAACATTACTTACAGCACGTAAGTTTCAGTATAATGCATAATTCAACACCTCTACACACTACAATATAATCACCACCAAAAGTCTAGTTTCTATTCATCAGTATACAATTGACTCCCTGTATCCACTTCCCCTCTCAATCAATTCCCTTTCCCTATGGTAACTATCTGTTCTCTATACCTAAAAGATTGCTTTTGTTTTGTTTCATTTGCTCATTTGCTTTGTTGTTTCATATTCTATATATAAGTGAAATCATAAGATATCTTCCTTTCTCTGTGTGACTTATTTCACCTAGTATAACATCCTCAAGGTCTATCCGTGTTGTAACAAGATTTCATCTTTTTAAAACAAAAACAAAAACATTACAGTACTGGGGTACAGGTCAGAGGTATGGTAGGTGAGAGGATTCACCAGAGACAGAGTGGGGAGCAGAACAGACAGTCTACTGGAATACACTGCTGAGGGGAGCAGCAGGTGGGTCAGGAGTGGTCTGCCACTCAGTGTGGGTCAGCTTCCTGGCTCCCTGGCTGGGGATGGAACTCATGATGCAGTGGCTTCTGAGAGCTTCATAGTGTGGAGCTTTAACCCACTGCGCCACCAAGGAAAGCCCTATTTCATCTTATTTTATAGTTGAGTCATACTACACACATACACACACACAAAATGTATATATGTATATATAACATATTATTTATCCACTGAACTGTTGTTAGGTTAGGTTGTTTCACTCTAAGTCATGCTGCAAAGAACACAGAGGTGCCGGGTTTTCATATGTTTTAGATAAGTGTCCAGACGTAGAATAGCTGGATGGTGTGGTATTTTTATTCTTAACCTTCTGAGGCATTCATGTTTTCCACAATGGCTGCACCAATTTGTATTCCCACTAACAGATTACTAGGATTTCCTGTACTGATACTTATTTATCTTTTTGATAGTAACTATGCTATTTGATAATAGCCATATATAAAAATATCTGTTTTGATTTGCCTATCTCTAGAAAGTGATGATGAGTATTCTTTTCATGTGCCTAATAGCCATCGACATCTCCTTTGGAAAAATATCTATTCAGATACTTTTCCCACTTTTTAATTGGTTTTTTATTGAGTTGTATGAGTTCTTGATGAATTCTGGATATTAAATACTTATTGGACATATGCAAATACCTTCTCTCTTTCAGTCGGCTGCCTTTTTTATACTGATGGTTTCTTTTGCTATGAAGACTGCTTAGTTTTTTTTTAACTTTTTTTTTTGTTAACTATCTACATCCTTTACCATTTTTACTTTAAAATTTATGCTTCTAAAAGCATAACTAACTGCATCAGAATGTATTTTTCATCATCCAGGGTATCAGTGTGGAGCTGGAAGGCTGAATCCTCGATCTTTTGGCTTGCTCAGCGGGACCCACTTAGAGACTGGAGCATGTACTTTGGAGTCCACATACCTCAACTGTTTACTATAAGGTAACTTGACAATAGTTAATTTTACTCCAGCACAAAAAAACTTAGATTCTTTCATATGTTTTTTTTTTCTAGGCCCACTTATTCAAGAATTGTGGCCAAATGTTAAACATACTAATGAGCAGAAAGTAATATATTCTCTATCTTCTAATATCTTTTAGAAAAATCTAAGCTGACAAAGGAGTTGTAATTGGAGTCAAGGCCTTCAGAATTAGCAGACAATTTTCAGAGTGCTTTCATGTACATTAGCAGCCTTGCAGTGGAAAATAGTAGACGTTGTTGATTCTACTTTAGATATGAGAAAATTTAGGTGCCAGTATTTCTGATATATGTGTATAGTGGTTTTGTGCCCTTTCCTTATATTATGTTGCCTCTGGGAAAAAGGAAGAAATTACTGTTTGATTCAGTTAATAGTCATGCTATGACGACTTTTCCAATCTAATGTTAGATTTAAGTGGAGTGTTTCAAATGATTGGGTTTGGTATGATGATTAACTGAATTGAGAAAGTAGTTCTTGCTTCCACTGTGAGGGACCACAATCACTCCCTAGAGTGACCACTAAAATAAAAAACCAGACCATCCTATGTTCAAAACCTGGCTCCTTTCTTTATTAGAACTCATTTACCTCTCAGAGTCTTTATTTCTGCATTTATAAATTCGAACAATATAATGTACACCACAGGGTTGTATTTAAACCAAATGAAATATGTGAAGACACAACTTCAGGTATAAAGTTATAAAACAACCTTTATTGTTATCTCTTTATCAACAATTTCATCTCAAGAGGTCTTCTAGCTCCTGCAGCTTTAGTGAAAATCTTCATGGCTTCACATTCAACACCTTCCAAATTTCTTGACCCAAAGCAAGGTTGGGCATTACCATGGCCTTAGAGTTCAATGAAAAACTGCCATTCTGTAGGCAGGCCAGTTTCCACTTAGGGTTCTATCTTGTAAATCCAAAAGACCAAATTGAGAATTCATGTACAGAACCATTCCACAGACCAGCTTAGCTGATCATACTGAAAGCAGCAGTTGCTGGGAACAAAGTCAGCCAGTTGAAATTGAATCAGTATGAGGTACCAGACTTTCTTCCAAATGCCCCAATTTAGAGGCCTCATCAATTCTGCCACATCCTTATAAAAAGGTGGTCTCACAGAGTAAAGGCCAGAACCAAACAAGGAGTACATGTAAAAAAAAAGGGCTTGCTCAACTCCTTTTCCACATAGATTGTAAGAAAGACATTTTCTTGATCAAGAAGATTCGGGCCCTCCCTGGTGGTGCAGTGGGTTAAAAGCACTGCACTAAGAAGCTGAAGCCACTTTCACATGAGTTCGATCCCTGCCTGCCCCGGAGGTGACCACATGGCGTGGCAGACCTCTCCTGACCCGCCCGCTGCTCCCCTCAGCAGTGTACTTCATAGATCTGCCTGTTCTGCTCCCAACTCTGTCTCTGGTGAAGCCTCTTGCCCATGCACCTCTGGCCTGTACCCCAGTTCTGTAATCACAAGTAAATAAATCTTTAAAAAAAAAAAAAAAGGAGACAGATTCACAACTGCTGACACAATATTGTCTCACTTCTTACCTAGAGGTAAATCAACAAAGCAGTGAGCGATCGCTCACGAGCAACAGGAGCTGGACTCTGGCAGTACAGAGGGGCGGACATAGGACGGAGAGGCAGGAGGGCCAGCAGCTCTGCCCTGACTGCACAGGCCACGGCTGTGTGAGTGGAATTCTTCACTACCCTCTGCCCCTTTTCTCTGGCCCTCATACGGTCATTATCAGATTTGGGAAGGGGGGAAAGAGTCATCTGTAAAGGAGTGGGGGTGAGGAGGCTGGTTGGCAAATTCTAAATTAGTAATTCACAATGCATGGTTGATAGCATTTAAGGAAAAGATAGGAAAATCAAGTACCTAAAAAAGAAATTATGGGGCCCTCCTGGTGGCACAGCGGGTTAGCACAGCACTAAAAAGCTAAAGCCACTTCAACATGAGTTTGATCCCCACCTGCCCCAGAGGTGACCCACACGGCATGGCAGACCTCACCTGACCCGCCCACTTCTCCCCTCAGCAGTGTACTTCATCACTTGGTCTGTTCTGTTCCCCACTCTCTCTGGTGAGTCCTCTCAACGCACCTGCACCTCTGGCCTGTACCCCAGTTCTGTATGCATAAGTAACTAGATCTTTAAAAATAAATTATGCCTATAAAAAGACCACTGAGTGTCCAAGATTTTTTTTACTTAAACTTAGTTCACTGTTAGACTAACACTCAACCTTCCAACCATTCCCGAACTCTAACTTGTAAATGTTCGTTCCTTTTGCAATCCTGAATTTACATGTGCATTTTGATCTAAAAATTAGCTTACAAATCAGTCGTTTAGAATCAAGAACATATTCTCAACAGTGTTAGGCAGTTAGGACAGGGAGGGCATGCCTAAAGAAAATGAAATGGCCAACATGCCTAGGACCCCAGGAAACACTTTCTAGAGCGGATAAAGTTAGGGGACAGCCAAGAAAAGCCCAGAAGGGAGAAAGAAGATTCCCACCCATCTATGGCAGGCCAATAATGCCTGTGGAGGGCTACAGGTAACAAAGGGAGGCAGGCAGACACTCACCCCCAACCTGTTGCTAGAGCTTATAAAACTACAGCCTGGGAGCACAGTTAGAGGAGGAGTGATATAGAAATTGCTGCCTGGACTGAAAAAACAACACCTGGAAGAGCCTGTGAGGTTTACTCCAGGAAGGAAACAACAATGAAATATCAAACTGTCACCCAGTTTTCCAACACAGCTCCTAAGTCACACCAGGGCTTACATTTTCAATACAGGCACACAGCCACATGCAACATTTCATTTGAATGTGTCTGCAGTCCTGGAAATTTAACTACCTATTTTTTCCCACAAGTATATACTGAAGCTTATTTGAAGGTTCTACCAGGGCAGAGCAACTACTGAGATGCCTTTGACAGAAGACCAATCCGCCTCAATCTGAGAGGGTCATCCTGAGCAGCTGCACGTGGAGCAGAGAGGGAGGAAGAACTAGCCAGAGCAATGGAGTCAGCCTTGGTGACTAAAGGGTGACAGATGTCCCAGCCAGTCTTCACATCCAACACAAGCAATGAAAGTTCTAAGTTGCCCACCTAGCACCTGGGTCCCACCCAGGTGTCAACCCCAAGAGCGCCTGCTGGCCCTGCAAGGGCAGGTGCCCACTGCTCCTTTCTGCTTCACCTCCCTTGAAGATGCCTTAAGGGAAGACAGCAGCTTTCCCTCTGGAATCTCCAGAGTTCGGAGCACATGCCAACAGTCACAGGGTGAACAGATCTTCAGAGCTTTCCATTTTTCTCCAAAACCAATTTTGTATAGAAAATACTTCCCAGAGAGACTAACTTCCCACTCCTCCGCTGCACTCACCCACCCCCAAGTAAAGAGATTGGTCCGAGGACAGAAGTGGCTCAGCCATGGCAATATAGTGGAGCTGTGATATGCCCACCTTTCCCAGCTATAGCAGCTGAATGGGTTAATGCCCACTGGTCACTTATCACTTCCCTTAACACCACGGTGATGTGGGAGGGAGCAACTTTTCCATTTCGATCTTAGATACCCTCCTTCCAATGGTCAGATTTTCCTTTAAAGTGGATGCTTTTTACGAAGACCGTGACAGCCCCCACTGTGTGACTGGGGCCATGATAGATGCCACACTCAGACCATTCGGGACACCTAGCCCGATGCCAGAGAAGAACACTTCTTACTCAGAGACTCATTTCATGCACCAATATGGGCTGCTATGAACATTACCTTCTTAAAAAGCGTAATGATAAAATGTCCCAGACTTTCACTATTAATTGATGACCACAGGCCCCAGCACAGCAGGATCTCTGTGACCCCTTGGAGGTTGTTAATATCACAGAGTTAGACCCAATATTAGAGAGACCACCACCTGCTTATCTTCCTTTTTAAAAAATGGGAAAACAAAACTTCCAGAAGGAAAGGATTTTATTCAGACACCCCTGCCACTAAACTAAATGTAAAAACAAGGCTCCCAAAAGAAGGGTGTGACCCAAACCTTTCTTGTTGGCCAGCAAGCCAAGTTCAGAGCTCATCTCTCCATTCCAGCAGATGTGCTTTCAATTAAGTCTGCCTGCTTCGTGCCATAACTCTGTGTTTCAAACTTGGAGTATGAGCCCTATTTTATGTAGAAGGGAGAATGCTAGCACAGTTATGCCAGGATGTGGAAAGGTAGAAAGTGGTAAAGTAGAAAATATGAACAGTAACCAAAAAAAAAAAAAAAGTGCATCAGTCTATAATTTAAATAATTTTCAAACTTGGTCTTATGAAAATTAGTAATGTGCACATATATTTGAACTACTAACATAATTTTTTTTAAAAAGTCTTCCTGAATAGCCAATGGCCTCCCCTGCCCACCCTTACCACACCAGACACCACAACCAATCAGTCAGACATCAGTTTAAGAAAAGGCATTCAGTTATGCAAAAGAAATCAATATACCCACCATTTAATTGTATACTTGAGGTTTGGTTGACTGACTGTGCTATCATCTAGGAAAATAGTAGAGCAGGAGCTGTATTTCCTTGCTATTTGTCCTGGAGGATGCTAGAAGACAATGGCAACAAGACAATGACAATTAAACACAGTTCATTTTTCCACAAAGTTATCATAAAATTTGAGACCAGAACATAAAGGAAAAAAGGCTAGCAAGAAATGTTAACACTACCACTAAGAAGAGTACAAAAACCCTTCATTCATACATTGAAATTTCTTGCTTTTCTACATACAGTATCACTACTCCTAGCCCCAACCTCCTTTATTAGAAAAAAACAAACTTACAATAAAGCATCAGAGAATGTGCTAGACCAGAGTCCATAAAAATTACCTGCCTGTGGCTTGGGTGAAACAAGTACACTGTTCACTAGGTCAATAAAATCCCTCATTAAGGCAGCACTCTGATTTTGTGCATCAAGATCAAGAAAAATCTCAGAAAACTAGTGTACTCATTTTCTCTATTCTTGCGGTCCAGATGATTTGGAGTCAAGGGAAAATTTAGCCAATATTAATTTAAAATCTTCTCCTAGTTAATCTGCTTGAATTTTAGAAGGTGACATTAAAAAGAAGTATTCCTTTGTTAAGGGTAAAATGAATCTTAGTGGGGAAAATGATCAGATATTCTGAAGTCTTACAACTGTTTCTTTGATAGCTGTATAAACTTTGAGCATCTTGAATGGAGTACTACTTCTGAAAGGTATGGGTAAAGAAAACTGAATTTAAGTTATACATTGGTGGCATCTAACTGAACACTAAAGTAGAGTTTAGCACTTGTACAGAAAATATAATGAGTAAACATCAATTTGGATAATTCTTCAAAAGCAAGTTAGGACAAAAAAATCAAGTGATCCAAAATAAGCTTCTATTTGTTTGGTGCTATGCTGACAGTTCCAAGCATATTTAGGCAACCAAAAAATAACCCCTTAAGGATAATAAAATTGCCCGCCTCAAATGCCTACCTCTGAACACAACCTTCCATTTGGCATCATTCCTGATTGCAATGAAATCTTTAGCTAATCAAAAACCAACTACCCTATTTGATATGTTAAAATTTACTCATTTAATGAAGCTTCCTCTATAAAATACAATTATGAAATTTATAACAGTCTGAAAATATAAAAGCAATATATAAATCTCCTTTCAAAAATAAGAAATGCAATCACTAGTTGGAGTAGCCAGTTCCTTGAATCATCGCACCAGTGAACACCACAAGCCCCCTAGCACGGCCAGACGTAAACAGCTAGGGTCAGAAGGAAGAAACCAAAGTCAGAAAATTCAAAAAATTAGGCTTTTTCTTGGATTTTCTTTATTAAACTCACACTGTCCTGTGCCTGAATAAGGAAAGGAACAGAAGAAAGTTTATGAGGTTCAAGTAACAATCTGAATGTTTATTTTAGCACAGCATTTTCACAGCTATCAAATTAATCAAAACATTCTCACTCAGATAATCCAAAGGCATCAAAAACCAATTTCCTTTCTCTTAAGCTCTTTTAACAAACACATTGAAGTCACACCAGACACTGAAAACTCAATCTAATATAGGTATTAAAATGGATGGCAAACTTTGACAATCCTTATGAAATGCTCCCCACTGGTAGAAAATCTACTACAAAAAAAATGAAACGTTGAGATATATTAAACACGAAAATGCAGTAACTAGCTGACAGTAATCGTATTTTCAGAGACAAAGGGTAACCACAGGACTAATCTTAACAATGAAGAGCAATAGTAATTCACTTTTTGTGTAGGTTTCAACTATTTCCTCTTGAAATTTTCAACAAATTTCAAGATTAAAATGTGACAGTAACAGCAAAGACTAAATGGTTTCCCTAAGAAAATATAAAAGCAACAGAGTCAAGATACACGGGTGAGCACAAGACTGCCCTCCTAAGAAATTACCTTCGTGAGCTTACAAGCAGAAACACCCCTCTGTTAGCAACGGTCCCTAGGGCTAAATGTTAACTCAAAACTAGCTCGGCAACGGGGCCAGTCCTGACTTCAGAAGTCCCCCACCTATTCGCCTGCACCTCTGAGAGCTCGCAGCTGATGTGCCAAAGCCCTCAACTTGCCAGGGAGACCTTAGCTCAGCAGTCAAACTACCTTATAATTACTAAAGTGAATAAAAACCTAAGTACTTAAACATGAATTTCTAATTTCAGGGTGTCCTATTCTAAAGCACCTCGCCTTATTCTAAAAGACCCTGTAGATGTCTCTTGGTGTGAGACCCACATTCAAGCTAAACCAAAATAAAATCACTGTACCAAAGAAGCTCTTGATGGGGGATTGATTCCTGTTTTGATTTCTGTTTACACTTGTTCTAAGGGAAGATAGAGGCAAACCAGGCACCTTCAGACGTGCAGCACAATGTGTCCTGGGACACAGACAATTTAAGTTTCTGGGATGCTACCGCTGAAGAATCAAAACACATATACATTGTGAACATGCATGTTCTAATTAGTTAAGTGTTTTTAACAAAGATATGTGAGATCTCAGCTTCAAACAAGATACTGAGCTGCCCTATGATACTGAAAAATCAATAAGCTTGTATGTATGTTTGACACAAATGGAATCTTTGCTTAGGTTCCGATATCAGCTAAGTAACAACACAGCGATGTGATGGACGGGAGAACATGGTGACAGCAGAGGCTGGGTACTGCACAGGCTGAGAGTGACACAGCTATGGCCAGCTCCCAGAGCTGGGAAAGCTCCTCAGCCTGTCCGGGAGACTTCTGCTGCCTCATCTGCAAAACTGGTGAAAATGACAACCTTGCCCCACAGGGTCACTAAAGGGGTGGAGGCGCTGATATTTATGGTCTGCTTAAAACAGGACCAGCATATTACATCAGTACTTGTGAAATGAAAATTCACATTAAACATGTATAAAAATGTGACAGAAAAAAAAGGGTTTTTCTTTACGTCTTTAGCTGAATCAGGTTACCACTCGTTCCTTCTTAAGACAATTAAATGTTAACAGTCACAGCATTAACTTTTATTTAATGACAATCAAATGAGTAACAGTGTTCTATATTAAGTATGTTCACTTACAGCTTACCCACACCTGGTAAGGTGGGCACAACTCCCATATTGCAGGTAAGTCAGAAGAGGCCAGCAAAATGAAGTTATGTTCTCAAGGTCTGGAGCGCAAAACCACCTTTGTCAGATGCCAAAGTTCATGCTTTCTTCTGTAGTTCTTCATTTGTGCATGGTCTCCCAAACCTTTTCTTTAATATCTCAAAAGCCCTTTTTCCTTCTCCAACCCCATTCATCCTTCAGACAGCACTTCCCCAAATGCCTCTCTGCTACCTGCTCTACTGCCCTGAGCTCTGACCCTCTCTGGCACTATCAGTCTACGTAGTTAACTGTCAACTCACTTGTCCATGTTCTCTCTAGGGCCTAGTGTGTCCAAGGAGGCAGAGTATACAATGAGGCGCAGTCTACCCAAGGACAAGACCGCCTCGCTGGCTCACATCAGTGCCGCCACACAGGAGGTCTGTCTCCATGACAGCAGCTGGGTCCTTGGCGGGCTGGTGATCAACAGCGCAGCCTTAGCAGCAAACGAAGGCACAGTGTGTCAACAAGCTGGCAAACAGGCACTCATGGCAAGGGTCCACGCTCCTGACAGTGAGACACGGACATGCTCAGGACATGCTGCAGCAGTGGCTGGCAGAGAAAGGAGCCAAAACTGGCTGTCTTGTGACCAAGACATTCTAGACTAAGCTGTAGCATGTTTGGAGCCAGAAAGCTTCCAGAGTAGAGTGTAGCTGTTACTGGTTAGCTGTATAAACCTGGGCATGTAACTTCAGTGGGATGATCAAATGTTCTGGCTCACTGGGGACTTTCTCAGCTTTCTCTTAATGCTCCAGAGCAACCAACAATAGCACTCCTTTATGCAATTAAGTAGTGTCCTGATTTTGGCAATAGATTGTGAGGTTGTCTTAGGCTTAACCTCCACAAGCTTTAATGTTATCGATCATAAAGCATGGACAAACAGAAACATCGCCTCGGCGCAGTGCTGTGGCGCTTCATGGGGCACTTCCTGCACAGCTCTGCACACTGATGTGCTCAACGAGTAGTGTTTAATCAGGAACAGTCTCATTCCTTTCAACTTCTCATTTTGAATGGTTGGGCAAAATGATCCTATTAATTCTTAATTTATTAGGATCAAATAAAAACAAAGCATTAAAAATAAGGAAACACTAGCATTAAAAATAAGAGGAAAAGAAATGGTATATGTTTCCAAAAATAAGTGGTATAAGCAAAATCTCGATGAATTTTCCCCCTTATCCTAAGGAGAACAAGCTACGACCTTGAAAGAGAAGGCAGGATTCTATGTGCCAGAGAATGAAATTCGCACCCGCATTTCTTTATTAAGAGTGAAGGCCGAGGGCATACAGAACAGGCCTAGGGCAGAACAGGAGGAACAGAGGGAGAGCCGGGGGTGCCTAATAAAGTAATGAAATCACTGAACCAAAGGGCAGGGGAGGGTTATTTTTCTCACTTTACAAAATGAGGAAACAAATTTAAAAAGTAAGTCACAGAGTTTCCAAGTCACACAGTTACTAAGGCACGGAAATAGGACATTCTGTGGAATTCCAATCTACGCAAACCCAGAGTACTTACCGGGAAGGTAGAAACACAAAGAATGGGAGGAGGATTCACAACAGATGCCACCAGGGCAACCCGAAAGGAAAGCTCCATCATCGTCCCTCTACTACTACCACCACAGGCCTCAATGACACAAAATAAAAAGAACAAAACAAAGGAAAACCCCTTCAACTTGGACATCAAGGTTTTAACTAATATTCCATGGAAGGCAAAGGAAGACTGGATGGTCTAAGCAGAATCAATTTTTTACATTAGGGAAAGACTAAAAGGTAGAAAAAGCAAATAGCCATGAAATTAATGATAGCAGTAGGCAAAGTCATTACTGTATAAAGCACAATTCTGAACCAACACTAGTTCTCAAGAACAAAAACTAGGAAAATGTCAATTATCAGGTACTATTTTTCTTCTGTGAATGATCCAAAAAATATTTACATGCATAATTTACT